TGTCCACCTTTCCGGAATTTGAACATGGCACTGTACACGTGATGAGATTCCACTTGAATCGGACGAATCGGAAGAGGGACCTAAACGAGAGGAGCCTGCCTGTAGTTAGTATTTAAAAATGGAAATCATCGAAATTATATTTTCTACAGGGGCTCGCTGTGGCTAAGTGGATAAGACGCTGCCTTAACAGGTTTACAATAGCCCTTTTCAGTGTTAAATTTTAAGAGCACTGGAAGAACTGGACTTATATGATGTATAGTGATAAAAAAGAACTGGAAAGTAGAGTCTTGTATAGCTGACACAGACTGAGTGTGTATAGTAGGTCAGTAATTAAGACGCGCCGCGCAGGCGACAGAAATCTCGTCTGCTAGATACTGTGTAAAATCTTATCAGCTCGTAAATATAAGCTAAGATTTGTAATTGTCGTGACACCTTAAATACACTAATTAATATAAATGATTAGAAAACGATGAAGTAATTAATATTTAATTTTAAACTATAAATTATACTATTCGTATTGACTTAAATTACCATTACTGAATATCAAAATAGCCAAAACATCTTTAACATTATGTACATACTATGTAACTTTGTGTAATTATATCTCGATTGAAGTTTCAAATTGAATGGCACCTTCTTTTAATACATATTGTAATTAACCTAATTTAAATATATTTATGAATTAATGTATGGATCCATTGATTTATTGATGTATTATTTCATCAATGTGTTAATGTGTCAATGGTTTTGTATTTTGATTCAGGAATGTATTTCTTTTCTTTTCATTTTTCTTGTTTTTTTAAAAAAATAAAAATAAAAAATAAAATAAAAAAATAATGCTTTTAATTGATTAAGAATATTTTGTGCTGTTCCATGATTAAAATGTATGATTATATATTTATTGAATAAACATATTTACAAAAAAAAACCGCTGGCTCGCTAGTCTGGAGGTCGGGTGTTCGATCCCTGCATTGGCCGAGAAAGTTCATCCAGATTTTCCGGCGTGGTTTCCCCTTGTCAGTGATGCAGGACAGCAGTCTAGTCGTTCGGATTGGACGAAAAACCGAGGTCCCGTGTACACATTGGCGTTCACGTAAAAGATCCCTTGACAGTTGGAATTCGATATAAGAGTAGGCCGTATTGCCGCTGTCCGGGCAAAATTTCCCTCATAGCACACTGTATGGCGCATGCCAGTCTTCATTAGCCCAGTTCAGAGCAGAACAGTAGGACGTTAAACCCCATTTAATTTCATTTCATTTATATTTTGTACAGGTCATTTATAAACCGGGGCCACGGGGGCTCGGTGATTAAGTCGCTGACTCATTAACCAACAGGTCCGGGTTCGATCCCCGTGTTGACCGAGAAATGTCCATATAGGATTTATAAGTGGTGTAGCATGGAAAGTGTGACAAAGAAGACTCGCTCCCGGTGTTGGGTGAGAAATGTCCATATAGGATTTATAAGTGGTGTAGCACGGACAGTGTGACAAAGAAGACTCGCTCCCGGTGTTGGTCGAGAACGTTCGTCGAGATTTTCCGGTGTGGTTTTCCCTTGTCATTGCAGGACGTAAAAGATCCCATGGCAGTTGCAATTAGATATTAAAGTAGACCGTAGCGCCGCTGTCCGGGCAAAATTGCTTCATACCACATTGCATGACGTATTTATTTTACTTGTCTTCATAACACTATGATCTGGAAGAGTTGTTATATAACAGGCGCTCTGCTTCATTTGTGGAATTAGCCAATGAACCGGCCTGTTACAGCGTTCCGTGCATGGAACTGTGGGTAAACCACTAGAAACCGCAACGCTGATTGATTAATCAATGTCTGACGTCATAGGGTGAAAAGACGCTCGTATGACCCTTGAAACGACCTCGCACTACAGTCAGATCTTCGAATAGTAGAGGCCGTCGAAAGTATCAAAAACGAAACGAAATATAGATCTGTATTTTAATCGGATTGGAGTGAGATGTTTGTATTCTATAAACGTAATGTCTAACACATTCGAACCATGTATGTTTTTTGATTAAATTTTCGACAGCTTTGAGATAGCAATAATGTAGAATAAATGTTCGCATTGTTTAAACAGAACATTTTGTTAAACTAAACATACATTATTACGTCACATTAATAATGATGTCATAGGAGTGAAATGTTATATATTATATAAACTATTGAATAGACATTTATTAACAAAACAAGACCATTAATCGACTCTCGATGGCATTGGATACTCGAGATTTTAACTAGATTAAAACGGTTCCCCATTTAAAAATTTAATTTAAAAATCCCGATTAGGCTATATCACTATCAGTGCCCTGGTTAACACTGTGCATACATCTTGTCAAAACTACAAACAATGATAACTTGGCTGAGAATGAAGTAAATCAAGGGGTTTCCACATGTTGCTCCATCTGTCTAAGATACGAGAATTAACATTGTCAATGGGGAAATCTTTAGTGGTCTGTGACCAAATAAATAAAACTGTGCTAACAAAATGAAACTAGATTTGCCACGGCTAGATCTTATTCTTAAGGTCAACTCAATTCTCGTCGATGTCGCTGGGATGTAATAAGTAGAGCGCGTGATTGTTGACGAGATTGTAGGTTAGGGTTAGACTAAGTATTAGGGCTATGTCCAGGGTTCGGGTTAAGGTTGGGATTATAGCGTTAACCCTGTTTACATCTCGTGACCTTTGGCCAAACTTGAAGTTGGCCTTATCAATTAGATTTAACCCTTTGTGCCTATCTTCCTATAAATTTTACTCGAAACGAAATATAATTTTATATAATTAATGTTGCAGTGTTTTCAGCACTATGTCCTTCCGGCACATTTAACCAAATGTGAATATTTTTGGGCATGGTAGGCCAACATTAGATAACTACAATGACTTAATATTGAAAATAACTGAAAAATAGATAAATTTCGTTTCGTGTGAAATTCTGTGTTTCAAATTTGAATTTGCTAGAGTTCGCCAAGGGAATAATACTAGATCATTGTGTCATCTGGAGAACATCTTCTCGAGGGTTAGGGTTAGGTTTATAAATTACATGTCAAACATACAAATTGAAGCTGTAACAACGGTGGATTGTGGCTAAAACTATTCTGAAGGGTTAGGGTTAGATTTGTGGGTATAAACACTGACAGATATTCTACAGATCGGTCAAGATCCAGTTATCGGTTTGCAGTAGAGTTTTTGGAAATCTCGTTAAAAAATCAACAGTAAAAAAATATTTTGAGAAAAAAAAATGGATATGATATGTAAGTTTAACGTGTTAGCAGTGCAGGTAACTGAAAATTGTGAATTTTGCTGTCAGCTGAAAGAAGCAAACAAGTTGTCAACATTTGGCTGCGTCGATTTGTTTTGTTTAGATTTTGAGCGGATACTAAATCACCGGAATTCACTTTGCAAATATCAAAATTTGACCCCAAGGCCTACCTCTTTACATATATTTTGCATTAATATTAATAATAAATAATTAAAAAACACCGATGATCACCGGAATTCACTTTTAAAAACATATAAACACCGGAATTCACTTTCAAAAAATGGGGGGTTGGATGGCCGAATGGTTAGCACGTGCGCGCTGCGCTGTATCATACAGTCTGTCATTGAGTCAACTGGTGGGATTTCGATTCCCCGGTTGTACATGACAAGGGGTAGGGTCGCCTGGCCTACCTTGTGGGGTTTCTCCGGGTCCTCCGGTTTCCTCCCACTGCTAAAGACCCCTACGCGCAAGTGAATTATTGAAATAAAATTGAACCATGTGTTAGTCCCGAAATGACCTAGTTTGAGTCGAGTTGAGGTTAAACCCCATTTCTCTCTCTCTCTCTCTCTCTCACTTTCAGGGGGGTTGGATGGCTTAGTGGTTAGCACGTGCGCGCTGTATCATTAAGTCTGTCATTGAGTCAACTGGCGTGGTTTCGAATCCCTGGTTGTACGTGACAAGGAGTAGGGTCGCCTGTCCAACCTCGTGGGTTTTCTCCGGGTCCTCTGGTTTTCTCCCACTGCTAAAGACCGCAAGCGAATTAATGAAATAAAATTAAACCATATGTTAGTCCCGAAATGACCTAGTTTGTGTCGAGTGGATGTTAAACCCCATTTCTCTCTGTGTCTCTCTCTCCTCTCTCTCTCTGGACTTTCAGGGATCACGTGGCTAAGTGGGTAAGACTCTGGCTCATTGGCCTGGAGGTCGGGTGTTCGATCCCTGCATTGGCCGAGAAAGTTCATCCAGATTTTCCAGCGTGGTTCCCCCTTGTCAGTGATGCAGGATGGAGGGCCTGACAAGGACAGCTGTCTAGTCATGTGGATGGGACGAAAAACTGAGGTCTTGTGTATACATTGGAATGCACGTAAAAGATCCCTTGGCAGTTGGAAGTAGGCGATAGTGCTGCTGCCCGGGCAAAATTTCCCTCATAGCACACTGTATGGCGTATGCCCGTCTTCATTAACCCAGCATAAGAGCAGAACAGTAGGACGTAAAAACTCCATTTACTTTCATTTCTCTGGACTTTTACGGCCGACCTCCTGGATCCATTCACTTGATCTGATATGTACAGTTGTTGTGTGGTGCAGTAGCAGATATTGGACAGGTCAGTCGATTTGCACTGGCCAAGACAGTTAACATGGATTTTCCACAGGGTTCCCCCTAGTCACTGGTGCAGAATGGGACACTTGTCAGTTTGATTCCAGTAGGACATTAATCTTGATTTCATTTCAAACATTTAGAAATATTTTTTTCTCTATTTTAGATAAAACAAACTGAACAAGTTGGATCAGGAAAGACTATCACAATGCCTAGAAGAAAAAGGAGGAAATGGATTAAAAATTTACAACAACATTGGCGTAAATGGCGTGATAGCATTGCAGATAAGTCCCTACTTGATTCACCAAATGAACCCCTTCCTGATTCAACAAATGAACCCCTTCCTGGATCACAAGATCAACCTCTTCCTGGATCACGAGATGAACGCTTTCCTGGATCACGAGATGAACCCCTTCCTGGATCACGAGATGAACCCCTTCCGGGATCACCGGATCAACCCAGTCCTGCTTCATGAGATCAACTGGTATGTTTGATATCTACATGTAAGCTTATCTACAAAAAAAGAAAAGCAGTTCATGTTTTTTTTTTGTTGTATATTTTTTTTTTTGGCTGAGAAATTTCATCAGCTGTTTCCGACGTGGTTTCGCCTTGTGAGTGGTGCAGGATGGGGACAAAAGACTGAGGTCCTGTGTACACATTGGTGCACACATAAAAGATCCCTTGGCAGTTGGAATTTGATATAAGAGTAGGCTTTTGCGCTGCTGTCCGGGCAAAATTGCCCTCATGGCACACTGTATGACATATGCCCATCATCGTTAGCCCAGTCGAAGCAGAAAAGTAGGACGTTAAACCCCATTTTATTTCATCAGTATTTTTTCAGACAATCCTTCCCTTATAGAAGATTGTATGGCTTATGCCCGTCTTCATAAGCCCAGTTGAAGCAGGCTTGTAACAATCTATACCCCGACGCCCGGGCCTACCAAAATTAACTTACAGGCTAGTGATCTATTTAACCGTACTAGTCCTGGGCTAGTGCCCTTTTACTGGTTTGTAAATTAATCTAGAGATATAGATAAATAAACTGTAAAAACATCCTACATTTATTTCTCCAATTCCACACAAAACTCTATTATAACAATAGATTTTCTGTATAAAACTTAGGGCAGTATGGACATTTTTAGTACCTCGTCGATTCATTCATTCTTGACATTTTTCTCCACCTTGCACTCTTTGACAAGTCACGTATTCACCAGTTGAAATCAGGTTGATTTTTTTTAAAAAAAAGCCTACATAATATTTTATAAGATTGGTTTTGACATAAATATTTGAAAGCATGCCATTGGATTTTCAAATACAAAATAATTTTGATTATTTAACATGTCCGGTATTTCCAAAGAATTTACTACACGTGTTCGTTGCACATGGCATGCTCAATGGTACCAGTAAATACTGTAAAACAATTAACTTGTCAATCAGTCGAGACTGTCTCATGCTTTGCAGTGAGTACTTACAATAACATAACGCACCGTATTCCGTATACAACAAAACTTCAAGTGGGAATTTATAGACGTCAATTTCCCGTGATATATTACAAAAAACTGAGTAGCCGTTTACATCCTTAATTGTTAGGCAATGAAGTCTACGATCTTTATTCAAAACCATAGGTTGGCAGGTAACAAAACAAAACAGGCGCCCAAATATTGAAGATCAAAGCTTGTACCTTGTCGAACTACGGACCAGTGGAAATTAATGCCGGGCTAGTGTCTGACAGTAGACTACTAGCCCATCTAGTGGATTCAAAAATTTTTTTACGCCCCTGGTAAGCACGTGGGCGCTGTATCATAATGCCTGTCATTGAGTCAACTGGCGTGGTTTCGAAAGGCAAGTTGTACGTGACAAGGAGTAGGGTCGCCTGTCCAACCTCGTGGGTTTTCTACGGGTCCTCAAGTTTCCTCCCACTGCTAAAGACCCCTACAGGGAATCGAATTATTGAAATAAAATTAAACCATATGTTTTTGTCGAGTGGGCATTAAACCCAGTTTCCCTCTCTCTCTAAAGTCTTGTTTCCATTATTGTACAGGAATAGTGCATCCTACTGACAAAGGTTGTAGAAGAATCGAAGAGAGAGAAATGAAATGAAATGGGGTTTAACGTCCTACTGTTCTGCTCCTAAACTGGGCTAATGAAGACGGGCATACGCCCTACAGTGTACTATGAGGGGAAATTTTGCACTACAGCCTACTCTTATATCGAATTCCAACTGCCAAGGGATCTTTTATGTGCATGCCAATGTGTACACGGGACCTCGGTTTTTAGTCCCATCCGAATGAATATACAGCTGTCCTTGTCAGGCCCTCCGTCCTGCATCACTGACAAGGGGAAACCACGCTGGAAAATATGGATGAACTTTCTCGGCCAATGCAGGGATCGAACACCCGACCTCCAGGCTAGCGAGCCAGCGTCTTACCCACTTAGCCACGTGATCCCTGAAGAGAGAGAAATAGGGTTTAGCACTTGACATGGAATGACCCACAGGGGACTTTACTCCTTTTCACGTACAAGCAGGGATTCAAAACCACATCATGACTCAATGAACCATTCAGCCAGTTCGCTCCTACTGCTCAAGAAATGACCTAGTTTGTTTTGAGTGGATGTTAAAACCACTTTCTCTCAATACATAACATTGTTATAACTTTTATATATTACAGGAAACTAATAATATAACTTATCACAGGAAACTAATGATGTTATAACTTTTATATATTACAGGAAACTAATAATATAACTTATCACAGGAAACTAATGATGTTATAACTTTTATATATTACAGGAAACTAATAATATAACTTATCACAGGAAACTAATGATGTTATAACTTTTATATATTACAGGAAACTAATAATATAACTTATCACAGGAAACTAATGATGTTATAACTTTTATATATTACAGGAAACTAATGATGTTATAGCTTTTATATATTACAGGAAACTAATGATGTTATAACTTACATATTTCAGGAAACTAATGATATTATAACCTTCGTATATTTCAGGAAACTAATAATGTTAAAACATTCCATCATTGTGTTTTTTGTGATGAGATTTTTAAAGAGTACAGTGATCTAGATCTTCACTATGAACTACACGTGAACAAGAAGATCCATGTTGAAGGAGAAAAAATTGACAGTATCGTAAAACACCGCAAAAGACATGTTAAAACGGGGCAAATTGCTAATGTTGTAAAACTCCGCAAAAGACATGTTAAAACGGGGCAAATTGCTAATGTTGTAAAACACCGCAAAAGATATTGATAATGCTGTAAAACTCCGCAAAAGACATGTTAAAAAAGACGATATTGATAATGCTGTAAAACTCCGCAAAAGACATGTTAAAAAAGACGATATTGATAATGCTGTAAAACTCCGCAAAAGACATGTTAAAAAAGACGATATTGATAATGCGGTAAAACTCCGCAAAAGACATGTTCAAGAAGAAAAAATTGATGTTGTAAAACTTCACAAGAAACATGTTAAAGAAGAGGAAATTGATAACTTGAATTATTTTCAGTGTAACTTGTGTGAAAGAAAATTTGATTTATACCCTGATTTAGAAGAACATTGTAAAATACATATGGAATATGAAGAATCTCCTATCATAGGACAAAATGTTAAAGAAAGCGAATCTATTGCAATTACTTTATATCAATGTACATTATGTCAAATTTGCTTTGAGCAATATTTTGACCTGGAAGAACATTGTAAACTTCATGGATATCAATGTACAGGCAGAGTTAGGTCTTCCATTAGGTACATGTATATTTAATGTATATTCTATGTCATAGGAAACTAACGATGTTAAACCTTTCCATCAGTGTATTGTTTCTACCTTTAGACAAACATTTTAGGAGCTGCGGTGGCTAAGTGGGTAAGCCGCTGGAGGTCGCGAGTTCGATCCCTGCAGTGGCCGAGAAAGTTCATCAGGATGTTCTGATGTGGTTTCCCGTTGTCAGTGGTGCAGGAATGAGGGTCTGACAAGGACAGCCGTCTAGTCGTTCGGATGGTACGGAAAACTGAGGTCCCGTGTACACATTGGCGTGCACGTACAAGATCCCATGACAATTGGTATTCGATATAAGAGTAGGCCGTAACCCCGCTGTCCGGGCAATATTTCCCTCATAGCACACTGTATGGCGAATGCCCGTCTTCATTAGCCCAGTTCGGAGCGGGACAGTAGGACGTTAAACCCCATTTCATTTCATTTGTATTTTGTACAGGTCATTTATAAATCGGGGCCACGGGGGCTCGGTGATTTAAGTCGCTGAAGCATTAACAAGCAGGTCCGGGTTCGATCCAGGCGTTGGCCGAGAAATGTTCTCTTGTCATTGGAGGATGTAATAGATTCCATGGCAGTTGGAATTCGATATAAGAGTAGACCGTAGCGCCGCTGTTCGGGTAAAATTGCCTTCATAGCACATTGCATGACGTAAACCCGTTTTCATTAGCCCTGTCAGAGCAGAACATTTTATTTGGTTAACCACGGTGGCGAACTAACTCATTTCATTTCCTTGACAAGTTTAGAAAATGGTTCTTAGTATTGAAAAGTCACAAATAAATGTATTTGCTTGATGGGTCGTCGCAAAAATACAAGTCTAAACCCAAATAATATGACACATTAAGGGCAGGGGTTATAAAAATTAAGATGGGATTGCTTCCTTGTACGACTTTGATGTAAAAGGACCCAGACACATACTTTTAAATCTGATTAAAACACGGTCCTATTCGTTTCGTTTTTTATAGTTCAAAATTTCGTTCTACTTGTCTTCACAACACTACGATCTGGAAGAGTTGTTATATAACAGGTGGTCTGCTTGATGTGAGGAATTAGCCAATGAACCGGCCTGTTAAAGCGACTTCTTGGCGTGTTGTGAATGGAACACTATAGAAACGTCAACGCTGATTGATTAATCAATGTCTGACGTAAAGGGTGAAAAGACACTCATATAACCCCTAAAGCGACCTCCCACTACCGTCAGATCTTCGAATAGTAGAGGCCGTCGAAAGTATCAAAAACGAAACGAAATATAGATCTGTATTTTAATCGGATTGGAGTGAAATGTTTGTATTCTATAAACGTAATGTCTAACACATTATTTGAACCATGTATGTGTTTTGATTAAATATTGGACAGCTTTGAGATAGCAATAATGTAGAATAAATGCTTGCATTGTTTAAACTACATTTGTTAAACTAAACATACATTATGACGTCACATTAATAATGATGTCATTGTAATAATCATATTAAACATAGATTATGCAAGAGCTAAATCTGTCTATTGCAGGTTTTTCTTTAGGTCTAAAATGTTATCTAAATTATTAATTACACATTTATTAACAAAACAAGACCATAATCGACTCTCGATGGCATCGGATACTCGAGATTTTAACTAGATTAGAACGGTTCGCCATTTAAAAATTTAATGTAAAATTGGGAAAGCGAGGCTAAGTCCCGATTTCAATATTTCTTTTTTCATCATCTAATTTTGAATTATTATAGCAAGAATGGCCAACTCTTTATTAAAACTCTTAACTAATGTATCTTTAACTATTCCCCAGATTCAAAAGAAAATACATCCAAAACAGTTTTCTGTGAACACTGTGGGGTTCTTCAGAAGCAGATAAGAGAATTAGAAGCAAAGCTGGATAAAGCCAACAATAAATTGGAAGATAGTCGATATGTTGATATACCTGTCAATACCTACACAGGTATGTACATTTATATATACCTACAGTGTTTTATCAAAATTCAGATTTTTCACTCAAATTTTAAAAAAACGCCCTTGAACATGTGTAACACTTTGGTCCTTAAGACAATTTTGGTTCTTTGAAAAATTGTTACTTTACTCTGTCTATAGAGTCAAATCACACGTACTTAATGAACGTGAATAGATAGTTATACATAAAAAAAAAACAGTGATATTTTGGTAAAATCATAACCATTGTCAAGATATCCATCAAGTTCTGTCTGTTAATTGACCTATGGTTGGTAGGCTAAATAATGTAATGTCTCCTCCTTTAGTCCTGTGAAATAAAGAGATTTATTCCATATTTGGGATGGAAATTAACGTCAAGGCTATCTAAGACGTACAGAAATTAGGGGGTATAAATTAGGGTGTAGAGCGAAATGGATCAAAGCTCATTCAGATATTCCTAGCAGCTATTATTATTGAGGACGAGAAACATTTAAAGCCATTACAGCTTAGCAATAAAGTTGTAAAATCATTGATTCTGTAGTGTTATTACGATCATGAAGAAACAAGTCCGATAGCTTGTTAAGCCATGGTCTGGCTAAAGCTAGATTTGTCTCGAATGAAAGCAATACTGATGGTTTGCTCCACTGATGTAAATCTTGTTGACCATTTAGGGAGCAATGGTGCCTTAGTAAGACGTTGGCTCGCTAATCTGGGGTCCCATGTTCGATCCCTGTGTTGGCCGAGAAAGTTCATCGCGTCTTTCCGGCGTGGTTCCTCCTTGTCAGTAGTGCAGGACAACAGAACAACGTATGGCCGGTCGGATTTTGACGAAACGCCGCGGTCCCGTGTACACATTGGTGTGTACATAAAAGATCCCTTGACAGTTGGAATTCGATACAAGAGTAGGCTGTAGAGCCACTGTCAGGCAAAAATCCCCTCATACTACACTGTATGGCGTATGCCCGTCTTCATAAGACCAATCGTAACAGAACAGTAGGACGTTAAACCACGTTTCATTTGGAGACAATCCTTACAATCCTATAATCCTCTAAGTCAGTTTTCAAAACTAAAATGTTTAAATTTTGAATGTTTGCTGGGACAGGTAGAGGCACCTCAAAACAAGGAAAGTAATATGCCTCGACCAAGTAGACCTCCCCACTTCCATTATGTAGCTTTTATTTTCAAGTGAAATATAATACAATTTCTAAGTATTATTGTGTAGAAAATATAAACCATTATTCAGAAAATATGAAAATATGGTTAAAACATGTAAATTCTGATGAACGAGTCGTTATTATATTTTTTACAGACACCGTATTGCCCTGAGCCTGTAGAGTTTATAAAAGAGCAGCAGAGAAATATAAAGTAAGCAGGCCTATTTATAAATCGGGGGGTTGGATGGCCGAATGGTTAGCACGTGCGTGCTGTATCATAAGGCCTGTCATTGAGTCAACTGGCGTGGTTTCGAATACAAGGAGTATGGTCGCCTGTCCAACCTCGTGGGTTTTTGCCGAGTCCTCTGGTTTCCTCCCACTGCTAAAGACCCCTACGAGCAACACCCCCCAGTCTATTTATAATTCATTCATTGTTAATTTGTTGTTTCAGTTTGAGTAAAGTCCCCCACCCCCACCCCAATAAGCAGGCCTATTTATAATTCATTTGTAGTAACGCCCCCTAGTTCCCCCCCCCCCACCTTTGTTTCATTTTGAGTGATACCTGTATCATTACAATCCCAGGACTATACAACACAGTAGAATATACCACAGTTCCAAATACCGATTATTGATAGTGCTTTTATTGCTGGGTTTGGGGGGGAAACACCGGATTGTTTAGTTAAAGTGCTGGATGGTGGGTGGAAACCCCATGATTATTTAATTAATATACTGGGTTGGTGGGGGAAACACCGGGCTTGTTTAGTTAATATTCTGGGTTGGTGGGGGAAACACCGGGCTTGTTTAGTTAAAGTGCTGGATGGTGGGGGAAACCCCGTGATTATTTAATTAATATACTGGGTTGGTGGGGGAAACACCGGGCCTGTTTAGTTAAAGTGCTGGATGGTGAGGAAACTCCGAGCTTGTTTAGTTGAAATACTGGATGGTGGGGAAACACCGGGCCTCTTTAGTTAAAATACTGGGTTGGTGAGGGGTAACACCGGGCTTATTTAGTTAAAATACTGGGTTGTTGAGGAAAATAAATTTATCTTTAAATTGAATCCGACCTCTGTTTTATTGTCTCTGAAACATTTCCACCGTGGCGCCCTAACCTAACCAGGCGGTGTGGCGTGTTTCATTGACTTGAAGACCATGATGAAAGTGACCGTAAATATAAAAGTAAATATAATCAATCGCTGTTTTAATGAAATGCAAATATGCTTGTTTTTGTTCAGTTAATATCGATGTGATTCATGATGTCATAAATCAACCTCTTCTATGTACCAGTTTGCATACATGAAATAAAAGGGAGTAAAATGAGATTTAACCTGTTACGAGTTTGCTCCAACTGGGCTAATGAAGACGGACATACGCCGCTACGCCCTCCTCTTATATCGAATTCCAACTGTCAAATGTACGTCAAAGTGTTCACCGGAAAATCACAGAGAACTTTCGAAATCAACAACGGGATTGGACCACTTGCCCCTAGTCAACGAATAACTGAGCCACGGCCACGGCGGCTCCCATTTTTTAAAGTATCAAATATATCAAGTATCATCAAGTCTATAATACCCGCCCTTCTCTTCTGCCCCGATTGGGTTAACAAAGACGGACATACGCCACACACAAGGCGCTATGAGGGGAAATTTAAGCAGTCAACGACGCTACGGCCTACTTTTATGTCAAGGGTTCTGCACGGGACCTCAGTTTTCTGTACCATCCGAATGACTACACCTTTTTTCTTGCCAGGTCTGAAGGCTTACACCACTGCCAACCCAGGATGAGTCAATAGGGGGACGATTAGGTTAACGTCCGTTTTAATTGAATCAAGTGGTGTGGGTTCGATCCCGGCTTATTACTGGCCACCGTTGTGCTAAAGACCTGTACACGTGCAGGCTAATTAATTGATGGATTAGAGAAATATCATATGTCGACGGTGTTAAAAAAAACTCAACTAGAACGCCCAGGGTCACATCCCACTTGTCCGGGATCCCTGTCAGCGAGAGGCGTGGGGGGTCGATGAATGTTAGAAGGGCAGAATCTGAAATGCCCGAAAACATTTCGGTTTACAGAAAGTAGTTCCGGTCGTCTGCGAGCGGCGAAGGAGGCCATTCCCGCAAATGCGTTTTCTTGCTGTTCCAGCCCATGAATGCAGCAACTTCAAAGTGATCTAATGTACCCTTACTTAGGTAGATGACTCGAATACCAAATCATTCACATTCCACGGAGACGGGAAAGTCGGGAGAAAATTTTGAAACTTTAACTGCCGCAAACCCGTTTTCCTGTCTCGTACACCTATGAGAGAGAGAGAGAGAGAGAGAGAAAGAGGGAGATTTCGGGACTAACATGGTTTAATTTTATGTAAAGGATTCGCTTAAGGATCTTTAGAAGTGGGAGGTAACCGCAAAACCCGGGGAAAACTTATGAGGTTGGACACTACGTCTTGTCACGTACAAGCGGGTAATCGAAACCATGCCATTTGACTCAATGACAGACCTTATGATCTAACGCGCTCGCGTTAACCATTCGGTCACGCAACCCCAAGCAATATTTGGAGAATTAATCTCTCAACTAAATATCCGCTTCAACCACAAGGATATTAAAGATACATTGTCACAAATGTATTTATCAGGTGGTTATTTCCAGTAACAGTATGACATGATATATGAAAAGTTTAGACGCCCAATCTTACTAGGAAACTACTCGATTACCGTATCATCTCAATGGAAGCGGACGTAAATTAACCTTGATATTATATCAAGTATTATAATATCAAGGGAGTCGCGGTGGCTCAGTGAGTAACGTCTATCATAGAGTCAATTGGCGTGGATTCGGTTCACGCATGTACGTGACTAATACCCCGTTCAGACGCTTATTTTTAAACCAGTTCAAAATCGCCGGGGTTTTCAAGACAGCGTCGTGTTGCGTTCACACGTACTATAAGTCAAACCTGTTTAACTATTCTGACCTCTTCGGTCGGAGGTTAGAGTTAACTATGCATGCGTACATACCATTTCCTGGTAGAATATGTAAACATCCTGTGAAAAAAAAATCCGCGAAATTTGTTTCTCTTACTCTCGGATAGTTTATACACATTTCCTAGAAATGAATACTAATGCTTTGAGACATAGAATTAAACAGTTTAGACAACGACAGAGTCAACAAAGGTACTTCTTTCTGATGCTAATGAGTGTCACTTCTGTGATATTCATGCCAACCAACAGGAGAATATGGTCACGGTATCACAGTGGCAATTGGTGGAATCACGCATACAGGTTTGGTTTGATATATTCATATATATTGTTTTAAAATTTATAATCATTATAATGTAGTCAAATATGTACACGGACAAGGTGTATAAAACAAATATTAACCAAGGGGTCATCAATTAAATATTTATAGAAAATATAACGTCCCCCCCCCCCCCAAAAAAAAAAAAACAACCTAAAAAAAAAAAACAATCTCCACACAAATAGGCCTGTGCTATTATATGTGCCATATAGACAATTTTTAATTTCGAATAATAATAGTTGCATGCTTAAAAGAGCTAAATTGTTAATATTTGGGATCTAGAAATTGACACAAATGGGTCGCAACACATAATTTCTAATTAGTTATATTCGTCGAAATACTCTAGATGTCTAAATCGAATGGCAATGTCTAGCAACTGGTTATTCCAGTCTACACTGATAGTATTTATTGTGCATGCTCTCCAGATAAGAATATGACTTGTGGGAATATGTCTAGCCTCGTTCTTCTAGTCCCTTGTTACAAATGACACTGAAATGCATTACACAATTCGTGTACCAATGGTTAAATGTTTGTTTTGTCTCAAATATTGGATATCAGAAACCCATCTTTTCCCCGTTAAGATCACAAGATCAATGTTGATTGAAATTGACAAATACTTTGTGTTTTCAATGTCGCAGATTTTGGATGATATTGACTACTTTAAGTTTAATTATTTACCTAATCTAATTCCTTTACATTTTATTTTCAGCTTTTATGATGATATACAGTATTTGGAAAACTTCAGAATGTCAAAATGTACATTTGAATATCTGTGCAGAATTTTGAGACCATTTCTTGAGAAACAAGTAACAAGTATGAGGGAACCAATATCTGTTGAGCGACAGGTAGGCTATTTTGCATTTTATGATCGCTGTATTGGTTGAGATATTCACTTCTGCTTGGAGAATATAAGAACATGCAACACATACTATTATTTTCTATGTTGGCCGCCTACTGATTTGGATTGGAAGTAGATATTTGTTTGTACATGTAGATGGCCTTAGTAAAAAACAAATCTAGTTTTGTCAATTTAATACTAGACTGAATAATAGATTTTATCACTGAACTAAAATGATTGGAAATATTGAGAACAATCTTCTACCCCTCCCATTTAAAGTATGGTAACCCTTTTTTTTTAGGTTGGCATAAGTTTATGGGTTTTAGGGACCAATGCTGAGTACAGAACTGTTGCTGCATTATTTGGGGTTGGCCGGTCAACCGTGTCTTCAATTATACACATATTTTGTGAGTCCCTGATTTCGATCAAGGACAAATTCATTAAATTTCCATCAGGTGAAGAACTGAATAGAGTTGTAAATGGGTATCGGTCGAAATGGGGATTTCCAAATGCAGGTGGAGCAATAGATGGCAGTCATATTCCTATATTAGGACCGAGCATGAACCATGCTGACTTCCATAACAGAAAAGGGTGGTATTCCATCATTGTTCAAGCAGTTGTGAATGATCGTTATGAATTCACAGACCTAAATATCGGGTGGCCAGGAAGTGTTCATGATGCACGAGTCTATGCAAACTCCAAAATATATGCAAAAGGGCTGTCTGGGACATTATTTGCCGGCAAGATGATTGATGTCAATAATGTGCGCCTGCCTATCGTCTTGTTAGGTGATCCGGCTTATCCATTATCCAACTTTCTAATGGAACCATACACAGACAATGGACACCTGACCCCAAAACAAAAGACATTTAATTATAAGCTAAGTAGTTCACGCATGACGGTAGAAAATTCCTTTGGTCGCCTAAAAGGTCGCTGGCGCTGCTTATTAAAGCGATTGGATATGAATGTTGACAAGGTCCCCAATATTATTATGACCTGTTGCATACTTCATAACATATGCGAACAAGCAAAATACCCATTTAGGGTTGAATGGCTAGAGGATGTAGCAAAGGAAGAAAACCAAATGTCTCAGCCAAATCAAAGTAACGAAGAGGCAATCAATGCAGACTGCACTAACATTAGAAATATCCTGGCTGAATACTTCCAGGAATAATTTAACCTTACAAAACAAATAATTAAGAAAGTAATAATTGACCATACTGTTACATACACTCACTACAAAGAATTTCTATGTGTATATGCCATCTTTTGTTTACTTTTATTGTTTCATTTTGTGTGTTTGCAGAAAACTAAAAAATGGTCAAACTAAATTGGTTTATTTTCATAATAAAAATCATACAACAGAAAAATAACTGATAATCTTATAACACAGTGGGTCTATTATAACTATATATGTGATCAGCTCTGGCCAAATGGTTGCTATGGAGTTCAATTTGTTTCCAAAATTTTCAATATCTTCTTTCTTAAAAGTAATATTATGGTACATTCAAATTTAAATATTCCAAATACTAATTTAAAGGTATTTGGATACAGAATTTAAATTGACACCTTTTGGCATCTTGATTTTTGATCCATGCATCTCATTAAGCCAGAGTTGGATTATATAATAAGAGGTCCAATTGTCATCTTTGTTGTCCATCATTGAAGAAGTGTATGTAATTAAAAATATACAGTGGACTCTTTCACTTTCAACATTGTACAGGACCGATACAATGCCGGATTATACACCATGACGGAATACTTAATTGTCTCAAAACCGCAAGTATTATTGTACCTCGAATACCAAAGTATTATTTTAATCCACCTTCGAATACCCAGAACTTAAAAATATGATAAACCTTTCTGTACATTTGAAACTTTATTATATAAAATTATTATGTTTTTACTTTGGGTGCGTACAAAACACTTGTGCGTCGTTATGAACAAAATATTATTATGATAGTGATTCTTCATCTCAGCAATTTATATTTAATGTTGCTGTATTTGACGTGAAAAAATCAAATGAAATACCAAGCACTCTCTTACAAGAAATTATAAAATTATCAAGGTTTTATTAACAAAGACTGACACATACTTTAAGCTCACCGATAATTGATTGCTTGTCTGTTAACACCCACTGATTGAAGGCCGGATTATCCAATGTTAATTCAACAGAAATCGTTTAACGGGGGTCCCCAGATTGGTCTAATAATTCGGAATATTCCGAGTCCACTGTACAAGCCTACACTATAAAGTTATTGATCAATTTTTAATTTATGTCTTTCAATTAATGTATTAAATAAAAGAGAATTTACCATTTTTGAAAACATAACAGACTGTTTTGTTCTTATTAGGGGCTTATCAATTGACTTACAAAGAAGAAAACACCCACCTCATACCGTTTCGCATTATTTGATAACGATAAGAAGCCAAGTCAAAACTTTGCTTTAGATATAAACAAGGATTGTCCTGTGTATTCCCAGTTCAATTGCTAAATGCCATTGAAACAATTAATCTCATACTGGTAATTTAAATTCATAAAAACTGAAATCACATAAAACGTGTTACAACTACAGTTAACTTTCACAACCAAGTACATATATCAGCTTCATGACACATTTGATAATGATATGGATATTAATAATTAAAACATGGAAATAAATTTATTAAAACTTGAGCCATGGTAAAATGGAATGACAAATAAAATTCATGTATTTGTAGAAACAAAAATAAACTGTTATCAATGACAATAATTGCGCTACATGTCAGATATTTTGGCACAAAATGGTATATCTTGAAAATAATATGATTCAGCTTCATGATACATTAAGTTAAATGATATGGATATTAATAATTAAAACATGGAAATTAATTTATTAAAACTCTAGCCTTGGCACAATGGAATGATAAATAAAACTATGTATTTCTACAAACAAAAATTAACTGTTATCAATGAAAATAAATGCTCTACATAGCAGAACTTTTGGCACAAAATGATAGGTCTTGAAAATAATATGGTTTTATAAATTTGTATATGTGTGTCCATTAGCTCCTTGTAAAAATTGTGGCTGCGGAACATGTCCATTTTGTTGTTGAGAAAATTGATGCTGCTGAAATCCCTGATTGGCAAACAAACTCCATAATTTTAATTCATGTTGCCTATCTCTTTCCCTATCCTCGCGTCGTTGTTCCTCAGCTCTAAGTCGATCCTCCCGTCTCTGCTCTTTTCTAAGTCTCTCTGAATCTGCCTCCATTCTCATTCTTTTTTCTTCGAATTCAAAATATGATCTTTCTTGTTCTCTTTGATAATTTATAAAGCTGGTTGTTGTCTCATTCAGAACACGTTGAATTATATCCTCTCTGTTTCTTTTTTTCTTTTCTGGTCCTGTAAGTAAATAAAATAACTCTTTAATGTTTAAATAAATGAACAATGATTGACAATTCGGGCCTCGAAATATCCCTTCAGTAACTAACCTGTCACTCTTAATTATCCAAAAACAACCACAATATTTACCATGGTGCCGTTACACATGTACTTCTGTGTAGATACTTCAAAATGCAATAGATGAAAACTTGTGTGGATGGTGTGTTAAAGTTCTTATACAATAATTGGGCGTGGTTCTGTCCCGGGAGGTCAGGCATGTACCAAAAATAACCATATTGTAAAGGAATAATTAAATAAATGTGACATCATAATGAGTAGGCCTATTGTGGTCTGGAGTCAATTTCCTGAACATTAGTAAATTTAGTCCACCTACTTACTACCTGTCAGAGAACATTTCAAGTCCTGCATTTTATTTCCATATAGGTATACACCTTATTAAGTCACTCTTCTGTTTTGTTTTACCTATTCATGGCTACACTATTTTGAATTCGATCTTATTATGTATTAAAATCATAAACAAAATTCTTTAGGTAAATAATAGCTATATAAAGTAGTTAAGGGCGTTGTCACAGGTATGACTTTTTTGAACACCTATAATTTCTAATTTGATTGGGGGGATCACGTGGCTAAGTGGGTAAGACGCTGGCTCGCTAGCCTGGAGGTCGGGTGTTCGATCCCTGCATTGGCCGAGAAAGTTCATCTCGATTTTCCGGCGTGGTTTCCCTTTGTCAGTGATGCAGAACGGAGGGCCTGACAAGGACAGCTGCCTAGTCATTCGGATGGGACGAAAAACCGAGGTCCAGTGTACACATTGGCGTGCACTTAAAAGATCCCTTGGCAGTTGGAATTCGATATAAGAGTAGGCCGTAGCACCGCTGCCCGGGCAAAATTTCCCTCATAGCACACTGTATGGCGTATGCCCGTCTTCAATTAGCCCAGGTTAGGTGCAGAAGAGTAGGACGTTAAACCCCATTTCATTTCATTTTCTAATTTGATTGGGATACAAAATCAAATGTTCCGTGTACTTTATAACCAGTAAACATACCATTTGTCCTGCACAACACTCATCTATACGTACAGCTAGTTTTCAGTGGGATGTTATTCTAGCATTTTTTAAAATTTATATTGAATCACAGAAGGAATTAGTGACCGGTTTACCACGTTCTTAGACAGAAAGCAGCTCCAGTGTTGTACTCTTTTCAAATATTGATAACCATTTAGAATAAATAGCAACTGAACCTTTTTTTTCTGGCTGTTTACGGAGGACGGTTTCTGTAGGCTCATTTTCTTCATATTCCAAATTGACTCTTGTTGGTTCCTCATCATTATCATCATCATCAAAATCATCCAAATCTTGTGTTTCTATAAAAAAAAAAAAAAATACCATTATATAATTTCCATAAGTTTTGATTTTAAAACACTAATTCTCCAATGGCTATTATGCAAAAAAATTTGATTTAATTTGTTTTGTGTGTATATGTGAGTTTGATCCCATGTTTGTAGGCTTATATTGCCTGCCAACTATCGCATCGATTTAGTCTTGCTCCTGACAATATAATAACAATAACATGTTCGCTTACCTGAATTAATACTTGTCTCCAGAATATGTGTTGGACGGGTAGCGGGTCTGGTTCCTAATATTTTATCCATAGCGTCAAAAAACTTGCTAGTTTTCTTGCCACTCCCACTTTTATTGTTGTGGTCCTTTATTTTTTTTATAAGAATGCTTCATATTCTTTATGCGATTCTTGCAGGCGTCTGCAGATTTTCTGTACCCATTTTCCTGATAGATAGAAAATATAAAATAAATTTACTACTAGAATATGAGAAAACCGGGATTTATGAAAAATGCTTACGCTGTTATAAATAGTATTACTAAAAAAGAACTAAATTTTATTAACTTGTAATATACACAACTAAAAACAGTTGTTTATGTAACTGTAACTCGTGGCTTACTGTACTCCAAACAATAGAGGGTATGAGTCTTCAGATTTCTATTTAATTGCCTAACTATAGACACTCTGAATTTAAATTCGCTGTTAAATTGGACACATTCAAGAACACACTATTTTTTATACAACTTTTACAAAGTACAATTGTGTGCCCAAATTTTCCCAGCATTTGGTGCCCAAAATGAGGGGGGGGCGCCCCCCCCCCCAGGTCGTACGCCTATGGACAAACAATGATAACTTGGCTGAGAATGAAGTAAATCAAGGGGTTTCCACATTTTGCTCCATCTGTCTAAGATACAAGAATTAACATTGTGAATGGGGAAATCTTTAGTGGTCTGTGACCAAATAAATAAAACTGTGCTAACAAAATGAAACTAGATTTGCCATGGCTAGATCTTATTCTTAAGGTCAACTCAATTCTTGTCGATGTCGCTGAGATGTAATAAGTAGAGCGTGTGATTGTTGGTTAGGGTTAGATTAAGTATTAGGGCTAGGTCCAGGGTAAGGGTTAGGGTTGAGATTAACCCTTTGTGCCTATCTTCCTATAAATTTTTCTCGAAACGAAATATAATTTTATATACTTAATGTTGCAGTGTTTTCGGCAATATGTCCTTCCGGCACATTTAACCAAATGTGAATATTTTTGGGCATGGTAGGCCAACATTAGATAACTACAATGACTTAATATTGAAAATAACTGAAAAATAGATAAATTTCGTTTCGTGTGAAATTCTGTGTTTCAAATTTGAATTTGCTAGAGTTCAAAAGGTCAATTTCTGTTTATCGGTTTGCAGTAGAGTTTTTGGAAATTTCGTTAATAAAAAATCAACAGTAAAAAAATATTTTGAGAAAAAAAAATAAATATGATATGTAAGTTTAACGTGTTACTAATGCAGGTAACTGAAAATTACGAATTTTGCCGTCAGCTGAAAGAAGCAAACCAGTTGTCAACATTTGGCTGCGTCGAGTTGTTTTGTTTAGATTTTGAGCGGATACTAAATCACCGGAATTCACTTTGCAAATATCAAAATTTGACCCCAAGGCCTACCTCTGTACATATATTTTGCATTAATATTAATAATAAATAACTTAAAAACACCGATGATCACCGGAATTTACTTTTAAAAACATATAAACACCGGAATTCACTTTCAAAATATCAGAATTCGCCCGCAATCCCTTCCCTGTTTACATATATTTTGCATAATTAATATTAATAATGAATTTCCTTAAATACACCAAAAATGACTACTACATACGCCTTTTAGATTTAATTTGGCTCTTTGTAAATTTCACATAATTGTTCATTTCGGGACTAACACTTGGTTCAATTATATTTCAATAATTCACATGCGCGTATGGATTTTTTGGAGAGGGGGCAGAGGAATCGGCTTACACTACATGAAGATCTGACCAGTTGTACTGGGAGGTCATGTCAGGTGTCATACAAACGGCTTTTGACCCTATGAAAGACATTGATTAATCAATCAGCTTTAACCTTTCTAGGGGTTTACCCACAGTTCCGTGAAGATCACGCCAAGAACTCGCCGTAACAGACCGTTTCATTAGCTAATTTCTCACATCAACTAGAACGCCTGTTACATAACAACTCTTCCAGTGTAGTAAAGAAAAGAAAACAAAATTTTGTACTATTAAAAAACATGAAACGAAATATGATTTATAAAGAGCCGTTACCTTCAATGTGCCTAAATATTTCATGTAGCATATAGTCGATCATGACTCGTACTGGCTTTATATAACTTTTGGGAAATATTCCCCCTTATTCTTAGTTTGTTTTTTAAACGCCTACATTGAAATGTGGTCATATATTCAATTGTGTCACCCCGTCCGTCCGCCCATTCGTCGGTCCGGCGTCCACAATTGCTTATGGACGCTCTAGAGGCCAAAGTAAATATCCGATTGACATTAAATTTATACACATTGTTTAAGGTCATGAGACAAAGAAGCCTATTGATTTTCAGCAATTTCTGATAATTATTGCCAGAGTTATGGCCCTTGATTATTTGAGGTCATGAGACGAAGAATCCTATTGATTTTCAACATTTCTGATAATTACTGCCAAAGTTATGACCCTTGTTCACTTTGAAAAATCTTGTGACTGTCTAGAGGCTAAAGTTATCATCGGATTGGCTTCAGTTTAAGGTCTTGAGATGAACAAGTATATTGATTTTCAATGAATTTTGATAACTTGAACAGCTAAATCCATGATATTAAATGTTTCGTATACTAAACGTTAGCATGGGGCAGAACTTCATTCAAACCAAACAAATTTTAATGATTTTCTAATAATTAATTGATGAGTTGTTACTCTTAATCGGATATTAGTGTATTATAATTGTTTCATTACTAAAAAAAGTAAAAATATGTGACTGCCCGGATGATTTAGCTGCTGTGGGCGTATCTTTCATTGCCTGGTAACCTATCTTTTTCATTTTGAGTAAATCTGTTGTCTGCATCACTACAGTCCAGGGACTGTACAGGGGAGCTGGATGGCCGAACAGTTAACGTGTGCGTGTTGTATCATAAGGTCTGTCATTGAGTCAACTGGCGTGGTTTCGAGTCCCCAGTTGTACGTGACAAGGAGTAGGGTCGCTCGCCAACCTCGTGGGTTTTCCCCTAGTCACTGGTGCAGAATGGGGACGGGGGGAGCCTATAAAAGAACACTTGTCAGTTTGATTCCAAATCAGAGTAGGCCGCTGTCCGGACATAATTTCCTACATAGCACACCGTATGACATATGCCCATTTTAATTAGCCCAGTCGGAACAGAACAGTAGGACATTAATCTTGATTTCGTTTCAAACATTTAGAAATATTTTTTCTCTATTTCAGATAAAACAAATTGAACAAGTTTGATCAGGAAAAACAATGAAATGAAATGGGGTTTTACATGCTACTGTTTTGCTCCTTAACTGAGCTAATGAAGACGGGCATACGTCATACAGTGTGATATGAGGGAAATTGTGCCCAGACAGCGGCGCTACAGCCTACTCTTATATCGAATTCCAACTGCCAGGGGATCTTTTACGTGCACGCCAATTTGTACACGGCACCTCGGTTTTTCGTCCCATCCGAACGACTAGACAGCTGTCCTTGTCAGCACTCCCCCCCCCCCCCCGTCCTGCGCCACTGACAAGGGGAAACCACGCCGGAAAATCTGGATGAACGTTCTCGGCCAATGCAGGGGTGGTGAAGTTCAAGGTAGACAAGTGAAATGATATGAAATAAGGTTTAACGTCCTACTGTTCTGCACCGACTGGGATAATGAAGATGGGGATATACGACAAACAGTGTGTTATAAGTGAAATTTTGCCCGTACAGCGGAGTTGACACTTATTTCGAATTCCAATTGTCAAGGTTTCTTTAAGGTCCCCGCCAATGTGTACACGGGTCCTCGGATAGTCATCTAATCAGAACGACTATACGTTGCCACTTGTCTGTACCACTGACAAGGAGGAAATACGTCGGAAAAAACGATGAACTTTCTCGGTCAACAATAATGAGACCTCCAGGTGAGCAAGACAACGTCCTACCAACTGAGCAACAGTGGTGTCCTTTTGAAACTTGACAAAGTGAAATGAAATGAAATTTAACGTCTTACTTATCACCACCGACTGCAATGAGGGGCCTACTTTTATTTCGAATTCCAGTTGTCATGGCTTCTTTTACGTGCCCGACAACGTGAAGACTGTACAATTGCCCTCATAGTACACTGTATGGCGCATGTCCGTCTTCATTAGCCCAGTCGGGGCAGAACAGTAGGACGTTAACCCCCATTTCATTTCATTTCTTTTCTAAATATTGAGCTGGAGATTTTGATCGCGACTTTTTTTGAGTTTTTCCACCGGTAAATCGAGACTATACTATACCCTCAGTCAACCAGTCCCTTCTTACTTTATGACTCATTCCAAAATAAAACGAAACGCGACATTTTGTGTAGGTTTATGAGCCGGATGAGTGGGAGGGGCAGAAATGATGAGCCCGAAAAAAAAAAATCCTTTGGTTTTGCAACCGAAATCCCATGTTATTTCCACCCGAATTCCAATCAACCAATCAATCAGACGTTGGCATTGACCTGACACCAGAAATTTCACATCCCGGGAAACAAAGCTCATGCCCAATAAAATGTGGCGCATAAAGCAGAGTGACAAGTCTACAATGGCTTTAAACACTGTGTATTTTACTGATTTAAGATTTGTACCCATAGATCAATTGTAAATAATTTGGATTCCCAATAGTGTTTAACAGACACTTTGATCTTCCTGTTGTCGTGAGGGTGGGGGTGGGGAGGGGGGCTTCATCTAAACCAGGCAATGCCAACAGAAAGACAGACAGAGCTAACATGTAATGTGTCTGATTTAATTCAAAAATTTAGTTGCCAGTTTGTTTTGGATTTTTTGGGGGGGAAAACTAGAAACGGAAGATTCGTATGAAAACCGGGGAGCCACAGTGGCTAAGTGAGAAAGACGCTGGCTCGCATGGATGTAGCGGGTTTGATCCCGGTGTTTTCCAATGTCCCGTGAACACATTGGCGTGCACGTAAAAGACCCTTGGCAGTTGGAATTCGATCGATACTAGAGTAGGCCGTAGCACCAAATGGTGTATGCCCGTCGTCATTAGTCCAGTTGTAGCAGAACAGTAGGACGCGTCCGGATAAGCGGTTTTGACGTTCACGTCCAAACGACTCAATATCGCGAGACACGGTACATACATTGCATACAAACACAGACTTTTATTTCGGAGACTTTGTTAAAATCGGGATGGTCTCTTTAAACCCGATTTCATTTCCGGATGAAACCCAAAAGATTGAA